TCCCGCCTACAGCCGGGCCGCGCACGGGCTGAGCGAGGTGCGGGCGCAACACCGAGGGTTGTGATCCCGTTGCCGGTCCCGGTCCGGTGCGGGCACGACACTGAGGGTTGCGATCCATTGCCGGTCACGAAAAAAGACAAAAAGGAAAAAAAAAAACATTCAATAGTGCATGATCCCATTTTTTAATGGGAATATGTTAAAAATTCACCGTGAGATAAAGATAAGTCCTTTTGCAACTATTTAACAATATCATCTATATATAAGCTCAGGTAGCCATGGTTATTAACCATTCCTGATAATATGAAAATGTGATAGAAACAAAAATTTACTTACTCTTCCAATTTCTGCAGTCCAAGAAACAACAATGGTGTTTGGAACTGTTGTGGACAATCGGACAAGTGAAGTGATATTAATTGGTCTGCTGGGTCGCTTTGGTTCCACACCATTTTTAGTAGGTGGAAGGTACCCCTAAGAATAAAATATAATTGATTTCTATTTATTATTTTCACAATCATTTCAACTTTGATTCCTTAAAAAAACAAATAAAAAGACCCTACAAACTACATGCCAAAAAATATGAATGTTTTTATTAAAAAGCAGAGAAGCAAACATTTATAAAAGTTTCCTGTGTTATTTCTCTAAACAACCTTACAGTCCCATTATACTAAGCCTAAGAAAAATATTAGTAATAGAAATTCAAAATCTCTTAAATTTAAGAACTAGGATGAATTCACGAAGAGTTTAGACAGGTATATAAGAAGTATTTTCAAGGGGACCAAAAATAGCCCCTAAGAAAAATATTAGTAATAGAAATTCAAAATCTCTTAAATTTAAGAACTAGGATGAATTCATGAAGAGTTTAGACAGGTATATAAGAAGTATTTTCAAGGGGACCAAAAATAGCCCCCACCCTCAGCCCTGTTTAAAGCACAGCATCCCTCAAATAAATTCTACCAGAGGCTTACAGATTCATAGTTGAGATTTTATTGGAACAACTTCTCCCCAAAATTCAGTACAGCACTAAAGCTACCACACCCATCTCCAAGTCCTAGACTTGGTCTTCACAGCTAATGTCACAGTTGCAAACGGTACACAGTGGTACAAGTGTTTCACCCAGTCACATGAATATATATCCAAAATAAAAATGTTTTCTTAATGAAAAATGATGACTAACAACAGCTGTGATGACTTATTTGATAGCTATGTTGGCAATGCATTTAAAAAATAGCTTTCAGGACTTACGGGAAGGCTGCAAGGTTTTGTATTCACTTTCACACAAAGATTGGGTGGGAAGTGATCTTCTTGTGGACAACTGGTTTCTGATAAACAAAACCTAAACAACAAAGGACAAGTTAAATTTCCTTTATTAAAGGATGACCTCATTAGTATTTCTGTTCAATAGCTAACTTAAAAGATGGTCAACAACAAAAAAGGGAAAACTACAAAAACTAGTCATTTCACTCAGTCACTAAGCATAGGCAAACAGGCTTAAAATAAATAATTCTGTCAATGTACAGTTTTGGCAGTCATGACTATCAACCTGTAGTTGTCTTCATAATATTGCCAATTATTTGTTTAAGCATATTCTGAGGAGCACTAACTTCCTCGGATATTAACAGCTGTTAAAAGAAAAAGGCTCTGTAGTTGAATAGATTAAAGAAATTCTGAATCAAAACAATTAAATTAAGCTTCCTTAATTCAGAACTTCTCAGAGCTTTTAATAAGTTAATATGCTTTATAAATTCTAAGAGGAAGACATAGTATACAGTATTCCTCCAATTTATTTGCCTACTCTTCTGGTTTTCAGCAGAAAATACTGAAAAGGCTGTAAGTCCATCCCCAGGACCAAGTTCTGTCCAATAAGCCAAAGTACTCCTTTATTCCTCGAGACTGAAGATGTTGAATAATAACATTATCTGTGTTATATCCACACTTTGTAATATTATTTTTAAAACTCCTGAGAACATTTATTCCCAAATTAAATGCACAATCTTTTGGGAAAACCAAGGATACTCACATACTTTGTAAATTCTCATTCTATTCACTCTTATATAGATCAAGAAATAAATCACTAATTTGGTATCTAACACATCTATTCTTACTACTTCCTATTTCCAATATACTCCTGAGGCTCACTCTACCTTTATAGAATGCTCACAGAACCTCCGAGTTATGTGGTAGGGAAACCCTATCTCTGAATTCTGTGAAATATTCATCATGTGCAAACATCTTCTCTCAAAACCTATGGTATAGGGTCTCAACCTGCCAACATGGAATCTGTGTCTGGGAATGATCCACAAAATGTGACAATTTTCTATGTAAAATTTTATGAGTACATATATATGTTCATTTTTATAGGAAGACAATCCACATCTTCCATTAGATTCTCAAAGGGATTAGTGATCCATAAAAAAGTTAAGAATTACTGATCTACAAAGATTTTCTAGAAATATACTTAGCAAACATATCAAAGCTCACAAGACCATCTCTAACCCCAAGAGGACCTTCCATTACAGGATAGTTCTTTATACTACAACAGTAAGAGAATGCCACAGCTTTAAATCAACCATTCCAATGCAGTAATAAATTTAAAACATGGACTCTGGCTACCTGAAGCTATAGGAAAAGAATAATTTATGTGACAAGTTGACTCCTATTCAACTAAGTAAAAAGTGAAAATCTAAACCACCCTAACAAACTGAAGGGAAAAAAGAGAGAAGGGAACAATAGAGAAAGTTTCTGTATGTAGCTCATGGAGGCGGGGGAGGGAGAGGGAGACTGCAGAGAGGAGGGGTAACAGGTGCATAAACAAAAACAGACTCGGTGTCTAATAGAGTAAACACCAACCTTAATTCTGACCAAATTATTTTCATGCTTTAGATAAACATTTATAATTAGGATAGCAGACAGGCACACATTCCTAACTTAATACACTTGGGTTGTAGACCTAGCAATGGCGGGGGGCATGGGGAGAGACGAAGAACTATTTTATGAAAACACAAAGAACCACCTAACAATTACCAAATATAATACAGAATGGTTCTTTTTCCATTAAGTTCTAGAGATAAATTTGAGTCCCTTGAAATCCCTGAACTAGACAGCTGATCTATCTTAGAAAGATAATCTTCCTTTGGGGAATGTGAACCATACCTATTGCTGCTTTAAAGAATGTATTATATTATATAAAATACTGAGGATAGTAACTAGATCTTTTATTCTAGAGCTATGGTTTTCAAAATTTATTTTGGACTTGGGACCCTTTCGTCAAGTGAAAACTAACCCAGAAGTCATACATACAAAACAGATAAAAGAATAAAAGCAGCACTACTTCGGTTCAGAATGTGTGTGTGTTGCAGGGGATGGTAGCCAGAGTGTGAATCCCTTAAGGGTGGCTCCAAGCAATAGATTGAAAACCACTGTTTTAAAGGATAATGTTACATATCAGTATGAGCAAAACATAAAACAAATTGTTGAGGAAGGAAGACTACAGCAATATGTAACTAATTATGAAGGTATCATCATATTTTTGTCCTTTAATTTATTCATTCATTATTACATGGTCTGCCTCTGACAGAGGATTAAGTATACCTTTTATCACCTTTGTCAGTACTTCCCAAAACCAAGACTTAGATTATCACTACTCTACTAGGGGTAAGGTTCTCTCATGTTGTTTTACACTATAAATGCTAATAAGTGCAGTCATATTCTTTTTAGAATATTCAACTCATCCTCTCCTCTGCTTTCCCAGTTTTCACCTCATTATTTTAAAGTCTAGGTTAGAGTTTTCACATTGTTCCACAAAGTGATGAGCAGGTGCTTTAGATTAATTGCTTTTCTGGCCTACTAGTGTATTTTGTATATACAATTCAGTATCTGATTATTGAGACTAGACCATCTGTTTGATTTATCCTTCCCACAATATAGGGAAAATAGCTTACTGAGGAAAACAACTATCTTATATTTCCTCTTCTAATCCTACTGCAGCAAGAACAGTACTGGACACTTACGTCTGTACATGTATCGTCATTGAATAATAAGAGCATAATAAGATTGGTTCATATAAGCAAGAGAGAGACATATTAACATAAAATATTTCCTAGTCTAAGAAGAAATGAGTGGGCTAAGAAAAGAAATTGAATAAGGAGAGTCTATGAATCCATGCTGGAAAATTTTGTTAGTCTCTGAAAACTTTCAAGAGATGTCTCAAATGGACTCTACATTAGCATATTTAAATTAATGATTTAAAATACAGGACAAAGCAAATGAGAATATTTTGGTGTTTGTTAGCACAAGAGATACTGCAGTCTTAAGTACTAGTTCCTTATCTACAGCAGTTTACCTCTTATGAAGATAAGGCCCTTGCTTTCATAAAACTTGTTTTCTATAGAGCTATTTAAAGCTATCATTAGCTAGAGCTTCTCAACCAACTGAGGCAATGAAAGTGGAGAAACACGGTTAGATAACATGGTACATGACTTGCTATATTAAAATCTAAATTAGTGCTGGCCAGCCATCCCCTCTCCTCCAAAATCTAAATTGCATAAAAATTAAGATTTCTCATAACAGGAGAATACTTTCCCTTAGTCAAATATCTAAACCTAATACTTTTAATACACTTATTGAAAATCAGGTAGATTTTTAAACTAATTTTTAAGAAATATTATCTTTTAAATTTTGAAATATATACTAGTCAACACTGTACCTTAACTGGACCTGCACTGTGAAGTCACATTTGGTCCCAGAAATATCCCTAGAATAGACAGAATAATTACAATTATTTTAAAAATATGCACATGAAAGTAGATTCAGAGACACTGTTATCCCAGAAAAGTTTTTCAAATTGTCAAAGGTAAAATTGTTCTTAGCGTAACTAACACACTATAATAATATTTTCCAAACTAATATTTACATAACACTAATACTAACTCACCCAATACAATGCTTTTTAAAATCATTTATAGACAGTACTGGATTCAAAGGCCAAACTGCAGGTTACACTTGAAGACAACTTACATGGAACTACTGATTTGCTGCACTTGTTGGGGCGTCAATGCAAATGCAAAACAGGTTTCTCGAAAGCGCTGACTGTTGTCTGATGCTAAAGAAGACAAGAATTATACTTTTAATTACCTTTAAATGCATCAATAGATAAGACAATAGCAAAAAACACACTCACATATCTTTAATGAACTGGAACATATTCTAGAGTTTAGATAATAAGGCAATTAAAACACTGAAAAATAAAAAATATGCTAGTTGTAATATAACAGAAAGAAATAGGCACAAAAAATGGCTAATTCCAAAAACAACATATTAGGATTCAAATTCAGAGACTATGTAATCAAAAGAAGACTAATAAAAAGTTATCTAATCTTATAAATGTTTGTATCTAAAAAGCACACTTGTCCAGAACATACTGATACTAATTTTACTTAGAATAAGTAAACCCATTTAAAGATACATGGTTTCTGAGCTAAGTAACAAACACACCTGCCTTGAGATCTGGACAGGTGAGATGACACTTGGTTTTTAAGGCAAATCAAGAATTTTAACATCTCCTGTTTATACCATGCAAGTTTTATACGATAAATATTATATATAGTTTCTCCAATTCTCAGATAACATGGCTTCAAAATTTGCTTGTCACTATCTCAAAGAAGGAAAAATTTACAAGAAGAAGGGAAGGAAGGGAATAGAGAGAGAAAAAAAGGGAAGGAGGAGAAGAGAGATGAGAGCAAAAACAGCGAGCAAGCAGGTAGGCAAGCAGAGATTAGTCTAGTGCAGGGATTCCTAAAGTACGCTGTTGTAAGCAACAATAGCTTTACTGGCTTTTAATTAAATGTTTTATATATACACACACACACACACACACACACACGTAGTAAATATTTCTCCTGTTTACTTATATTTCCTCAGTGCTTGGCACAAGAAGCACTGAATTACTATTTGTTGAATGAGTTAAAGGAATACAAAAACTTAAGAAATATCAAATATAATGTTTAAACTGCACTTTTCCAGGGTAAATTCCTAGAATGAAAGGATCACTAAGAGTTATTATCAAGGAACTCCTGGCCTATGTGCCACTTAAGACCTGTACTAAAAAAGCAGCTGAAGTTGGCTGTTGCAATCACTTGCTGAAACTGGGTTTTATTCTACTTGCAAGCAACACTTTACAACTACCATCCAATTACAGTATGTCATGTCAAAAAATCTGTACAAATGTATCACCATGAGAAGGAAAATGGAAAAAAGCACTGCTGATCTAGAATTTCATCTCAATATTGAGTATTTTTTAAAGGCTAGGTTGTGTTTCTGCTTTATATGATCTGGGAAGGATTTTTCTTAAAGAATCTATCACCAAGAAACAGTTATTAACCAGAATAAGTTATCTTAATTGTGAAGCATCAATCTGGCAATGGCCAATAACTAAAGACAAGAATGCAGAAAAACAAACATTTCCCTATCTCAGGCAATGAAAGTATCTAACTCCTTCGCTTCTTAGAGGATATATTTCCATAAAAATTTTAGTCCAGTAGGCTTAGGCTAATTTAAATCTTTGGCTCCATTTGTGCTCAAATAATTTCCCAAGTACAAAAATTCATACTACTCTCTAGGCAAAATTTCATCTCAAAATATATGAATACAGTAAGTTTTAGACACATATAGATTTAGAAAGAGAAGCTATGACTAAGATAATGAGGCTGCTTCTTGTGCCTCACATAGAAATCAGGTTCCTTATTTAATAGTAACCCTATTTACATCTCCTGTATATACAGACTGTAGTGCTCATGGGCGGCTACAGTTCATCTGGAAAAACACTTTCACACTATGTGGTTTTCAGGCTTAACTGGTGCTATGAATGCCAGTGAAGACTTCATAGTTTTGATTTTAGACAAAATATTTAAAAACTTTTCTGAAAGTGAATTAAGCTATTATTAGCCCTTTCAGAAAAATTAAGGACAAACTCATGCTGAAAGAAGTCTTACAATATCATCCAAAACAATGACCTCTAATGTTGACAGTCTGCATCTCTGTGGGTTCAAGAAACAACCCATAGGAATTCAGGAAAAAATATCTATCTGTAAAATAGAAGTTTTATAAAGTTGAGATTTTACATAAAATCTAAAATCTAATTTACAAAAAAATTTAAAATTTTATGTAAAATCTTAACCTTCTCAACATCTATTTTTCCTTTATATTTTGTAACATGCAATATTAGTACAATACTATATATATATATATATATAATAAAATCTAAAATCTAATTTACAAAAAAATTTAAAATTTTATGTAAAATCTTAACCTTCTCAGCATCTATTTTTCCTTTATATTTTGTAACATGCAATATTAGTACAATACTATATATATATATAAAATATATGGTGAATGCTCAAGTATTTTGCTGAGAGGTGCACATGATCAAATAAATTTGCAGATCTAGAGTTCATTGATCTAGAATTCAACCTTCCTTTCAATCTTTCCATTTATTCTGTTTGAACCCTTTTAAAGATGGGTAGAAGTGGGCATTACTTTAACAGGCAGAAGATGGCTGGTGATGAATTTAATTCTAAGAAAGTTTGCAGCTCAACAGAGTAGCAAAATGTAGTAGAAAGAGATGAGATTACTCAGACCTAAATTCCAAACTGGTTTTGCCACTTATTTGCCATGTGACCTTAGATTCTTATCCACTTCTGTTTCCTCAGATATTTAAGCACACACACACAACATGCACACACCCTTGTAGAGTTATTCTGAAGAACATAAATGAAGTAATATTTCAAACAACCAACAATTTCCTCTTCTGCTCCCTTTCCTCCTCCTGCCTCTATACTGAATCAAATGCTGTAACTTCCACCCATTGGTGCCATACAGCACTAAACTAATCTCACTATCCAGTAATAGCCATCCTTCAAGTATATGAAGGAAACATTAATATGCCTCTCCCTCTTCCTTGACTCTCTTCCCACTGTATTTCAGGCAAGATTTCAGAACTACTCACTATTCTGATCTTCCCCCTCTGGACATACTCAGGTTGTCACACCCTTATTACAGGGAGAGCCAGAACTGAACACACAATGTCATAGCATATATTATTTGTTCAGAAGATGTGCTGCCCTTCCATATTGGCCTATCCATGTGAGAGGATTATATCTCCAGTGCCACTGACGTTATCCTTGGCCAGTGAAATATGAGTGGAAGTGTACCACGTCCAAGCAAACCTTTAAGAGCCATTCTATGATTTTACCATCTTTCTTTCCCCTCTGCCTTGATCCCAGAGAGCAGAGCCACAGCCAACATGCAGCTAATAAGTAACATACACGAGAAAAAAACCTTAGTTGTTAGCCACTGAGATTTACGACTGCTTGTAAGTTGATTGATATATATTATCCCAAATACGATGTGGGTAGAACATTATTTTATTAACAGCTACCATCTAGTATTGCTAATCCACACAACAATCATAAAGAAAAGGTATCACCCCATTGCTCAGATGAAGAAATTGAGGTTCAGAATAGTTACTAATTTGTCAAGGCATCATACTTATAAGTAGAAGAACCAGAACTGGCACTCATCTCTGCATGTCTCCTGTCTCCAAAACCCATGCTTTTCTCATAATATAAGTCTATGAGCTCCCCTGGTTTGGGTGCTTACTTCTACCAATGCAGCTTAGCATTACATTGGATCACAGAAAATAGGAAAAGAATTACCTATTATCCTCTCATCATAACTCGTTTTATCATTTTTATGTATTTCCTTCCAGTCATTCTTATACCAAATTATACATATATTTCAAAAGCCCACTTAAAAAAATTACCCTTATCACACTTTTCAATTGTAATCTCTATTATCATATTTTAATCATTGTATTACATTCTATCAAGGGGCACATGAAATTTTTAATTGTTGCCCCATGAGTCATTTAGGTTTTTTCTAATTTTTCATTATTTGAAACAACTCTGTGAACATCTTTGCATTTACAGGTTTGTTTTTTGGAGCAGGGAGGGTTACTTCTTTTTGATCAATTCCCAGACGTGAGATTTCAGTGTCAAAAAGTATGGAGATTTTAATGACTCTTGACACATCAGAAGAGTGTTTTTCAAACAGTTGTTTTGTATATAATACCAGTAGCAATTTATGCATCTAGTAATTGGCCAGCATGGCAGTCGTTGCTAATTTAATGCGTGGATCCTAGTAACACCACAATAGTTTAATTTGCAGTTAAATTTTTTCCTTGTTTATTTGTTGAATTTCCTGTTCAGTTAATTGTCCAATTTTGTCCTATCCCCATTTACATATTTGCATAAGGGTTTCACATATAAGAATATTAAAATCCTTAGAAATTTGCTGCAAATATTTCCCAGTCTGCTACATTTTTTTCTTTTTGGCTACATTTTCATATAACATACAAGTTAAATTTTTATGTAGTCTGTCAAACATCTTCTTTGTAAATTCCTCTACTAATTCTAAGATTAGACAATTATTCCCCTTCTAAATTCAATCAATACACAGATTCTTAGATGTCATTTCTATCTAATTATTTGATCCATCTGGAACTTACTTTAGTATATATTTTAAAAATCTAAATTTATATTACTCAAAACTGCTTACAGTTCAATTTAAACTATTTGTTAAATAATACTTCCCCTTCCCTATGAATATATGTGCTTCTTTTATTTATATATTCAATCCTTATATCCAACATTTTCAATTCTAGGCTATTTTCCCAGTAGTCTTTTTTATCCTGGTGCTGGTATGCTATTTTTTAATTTTATGGCTTCATTATGTTTTAGTATCTTATAGTTAGATTTCTTTTCATCTATTCTTTTTTCAGACCTCTAACATGGACTCGAATATTTATTCATTTAGATGAATTTCCAAATCATTTTGTTATGATTTTTAAAGCCCAATGGTATTTCCGATAGAATTACAATAAACCTATGAATTATTTTGAGAGCTATTATCTTTACATCTTTAATCTTCCTATTCTAGAGTACTGTACCTGTGTCCATTTATTCATATCCTCAAGGTTTTATTTTCATCATATAGATTAGTCACATAGTTCCCATTAATATCATTCATATGCAAAATATCTACCAA